TGTAGTCTCAGTAGCACCTATCAAAACGTGTTGACAACCTTCATCACACCTGGAGCCCACAAGGTAATTATTGGTCACTTGCAATGGGCTCGTAGCTGAATTTAAATCAGCTTCCTTATTTTGTAGTAGCTTGCTTGTAAAGGTTGACTTCAAAAAGGATGTGTTAGCATGTAACAAGTTTGTACCACAAACTTGACCTTGCAAATTACACCTATCAGTTAACCGCCTTTGGGACAGGAAGTTGCTGAGAAAGGAGGAAAAGGAGAAGGCTTTGTCTCACCACCCAAATTTCCTGGTCCCCACCCCACCCAAAGTTGATGGACAAATGGTGTGTTTGCATCACGTGATGTGATTTTGTGGGGCGGGGCTCACCTGCCCCTCCCAATGTTTTATTCAAGTTGGCATTCCTGAGAAAGGGTACAGTAGGAGGAATGCACACTGGAACACTGACATAGTTTCATTATTCTTTTAACTGCAAATTGATACACAAATATGGCAACTCAAAGCTGAAAAAAATGAGGATTGGAGAGAAACTGAAATTGACAGATTCTTCCACCCCTATTGCTATAGAGCTGCAATCTTACTTGGAGTAAGTCCCATTAAGCTCAGAAGGATTTCTGAATCAATATGCACAGGATCACCCTGTTTAAGGTTAAACAGTATTTGTAGTGGAACAGGTACACATGCTACAAAGAAAATGAAACAATTTATTTCACTCGATCGCCCTCCTATTTATCATCTCATCTTTGCTTGCACATCCAGCTTTGATGCAGTGGCGTGTGCTAGATTAAGACATTAAAACTAGTCTAATTCCCTGCCAAAAAGCCCTCAGCTGCCAGAAAGAGCTATTTTGTTCAAATACTTTAAGAATCAAAAGACTGCTTGTAACTCAGAGAGATGGAATTTGTGACTGGCATAAATAAGTATTGAATCAAACTGTCTTTGACAGCAGTAGAATCCAAACACTAAGCCACCTAGTAATTGCTGAACCATCAGACTTAACACTGTTTGGTTGATTCAATTTTATGCACAAGTTGGCATGTGTATTATATGCCCGTAGAGAAGTAAAAAGGATTTAAGCAGATCTGAGATCGCAGGTGAGCTTGAATTCCACTGTGGCTCTACATTAAAGCACACCGCTGTGCTCACAAGGCATAAAAATAGTAAGTCCCATATTTATTTATGTTTTTATGCTCTGTGCATGTTATGGTAATTGATGCTTTATTCTGCTGTAATAGTATTGGGGATTATTTCTTAGGCTTCTAACAGGGTTCTCATTTTAGAATTCAATTCTCAATCTTCTGTGATTCGTAAGTCTTAGTACGTATGTACCACAAAGTCCCTCCAGATTTTCTCACCTTTCTGAGTTTTCAGAATAATGCATAATGATGGTTCCCTTTTATTTTGTGGGATTCATAAAATGCATGGCACTCATTTTTGATGCTGCCTTTTTCTTGCCACATCTCCACAAGACTTGACTCTTATGGACATGCACGAGACCAACCTTCTCTAAGCTGGTACCATCCAGTCCCAGCCAGCATGTAGCTTTTGTGCTTGTGTAGGCTCCCTGTGTCATCACAATTTTCAGTCATGAAGGAAGCTTCTCCATGCATGCAAAAGCCTCCCCACAGGGAACCCCACTGTACCCAGGTTGCTTTCCTTATCTGGCAATATCTGGAAAGGGCTCTCTGGGGTTGAACCTACCACTAGGCAGCTTTTTATGAAATAAAAATAAATATTTTTAATAACAAATAGAAAATAAATCATTGAGTGTATGTGCAAAGATATTTGCATATCAGCCCCAGAAGCCAGACTGTCAAATCCCATACATTCCTCTTGGTAACATTCAAGGGAACCACAATTTCACAGTGTCCTGTGGCTGTGCAGTATCTGCTGAGGTTTTGAGTGATTGTAATAAGCTCCACCAGGAACCTACAGTCATATTCTTTTGTTCTTCCATGACTGGGCAGGCAGTAATGACAACCACTGCACACAGGGCTCTAGAATGTAGCAAGGCATATAGCTGGTTGGGTGGTTGCACGTAGGGTTCCAGTCAATGAAAGTACAAATTGTATCCAAGCTCTCTTCATGTTTGTGTGTGAGCTAAGCTATTCTACCAACAAATTTTAGAGCTGGGGTGGCTAACCTACTGTTGCTCAACTCCAGCTTCCACCAGTCCCAGCCCACATGGCCAATGGTCAAGGATGATGAGAGTTGCAGTCCAACAATATCCAGAGGACACCACATTGTCTACCCCTTTGCTACCTTTTGAATGCAGATCCTTGTATCACCTCAGCAAAGTGGCCCTAAAATGATGCTACACCTCTGTTATTGGCCAGTGGATCTCCCAAGCCATCTCACAGGGGATCTCCTAAGAGTTGAGGAGTGGGATGTGAATTGCTTGCTTAAAGATCAAACATTTGACTTTTTTATTTTGTTTATGGTGAATACTTTCTGTAATTAAGCAAAAGGATAGCTTTGCCTATGATTGAAAACAGTTAATGGGGATGGGGATAATGATTGCTAATTCCAGAGAAGGAGAAATGTTTCAGCAAATAGCTAACCATGAATCTCTCTGTATTTTTGTCTTCTGTTTAAGTAATCCATTTATCTTCTTTTCTAGGACGAACTGTAGACCTTATCTAGCTCTAGGGACCAGATCTCCTTTCAAGAAAGGGTGGTGTACTGAGTTTGGGCTGTCTTGATTACTATGAGCAGGCAACCAATGAAGGACTTGAGTAGCAGCAAAAATAGTCGTGATAGATGGGAATCTCTTTCCAGCCTATGGAAGAGAATACCTATCAAAGTTTGAAAGATGACACCCTCTAGTTTAGGGGAAGGGCAGATAAATTGTTTGGAGCCAGATTTCCAGATTGAATTTAGAGAGACAGGGGGAAAGTGAAAAGTTTTTAGCTGTGGTTAGCTAAAACTTGGATGTGACCTTGGAGCTGATTGAAACACATTCTCTTTGTGATTGCAAAGCAAGATCAGAGGCTCTGCTACCTACTTATAAGGGTCTTATTTGCTTCTACTATGCTCTCCTTGAATATCTGTAAATATTGTTCTTTTCCAGTGCAGCCTCAACCTAAAGAACTAAACAATCAACAGTGCTACCAGACTTCTCACTGCTCTGGGAGGTGAGGCTAAAAACAAACACACACCCATAGAAGAATGGAGCACTCCAAAGTCCTTTCTTCTGTCCTGCCAGTGTAAGTCCAACAGGTTGTTGGATGATACACAAGAATCTCCCTTGGCTTCCTACTCTTCCCTACCGTAGGAATCTGAACATGGAGGGGAGGAGGTGTTGTGTAGACTCAGGCTGCAATCCCACATTTGGGAATAAGTCCCATTGGACTCAATAGGGTTTCAGAATATTTTTTTATTTTATAATATTTATATGCCACTTTTGGGGGCAGAGTTCTGTAAAAGGTGGCTTACAAACAATAGAAAACTACAGTATAAAAACCGGTACTGCTTAAATCAACGATAAAAAAAGAACTACTCAGGCGAGGCCAGTGAGTACAAAGCAGTCTTTAAGTCTGCAGTATAGCCTGCACCAGCTTTACAGGGAGGGATTTCAAAAGGTGTGGAGCCACCACAGAAAAATCTCACAATTAGTTGGATTGACCTGCCCAATTAGCCTGATTAGCAAAACAGATAAACAGTAATGTCTCTTCATTTTTTGTTTTGAAAATTACAAGGATTGCTTTAGCAGTGAAAGACTCCATGAAATGCTTCTAGCTCAGAATGCTAGCTCTGCATATAATTGTTATATTTGCATATACTTTAAGAGAGGTATATTGGCCCAATATATTTTTCTGTTTAGTAGGCCCGATGATGATATATGTATTGTTCATCTTGTCATGTGGATTATTTCTACTCCTAGAAAAATGACTAGGATTTCTGCTATCAAATTTATTATGAAAGAGGTAAGACTGCTCCTCTCTTTCCCTACCTAAGAACTAGAATTAACATTGGACAGGAGATAAGAACATAGAAAATGGAATACTGGGCAAGGGGAGAATCTGCTCCTAAAATAAGGCGATGCAGTATTTTGCTCCTGCAATTGCAGTAATACCAACCTCTTTTATATCCAGTTTTGGAAAAAAAAGAAAACAGCAGCATCCAAAACTGGTTTATAGAAAATGTAGCTGAGCAGTGCCTTTCCTAATCACTGTTCTTAAGGCTGAGCAGCAGAAAAAGGTGAACAAAGAAAAGGTAAAAGAGGAACTGCAAGGCTGGGTATTTGATATACAATCCCAGGCTGCTCAGACCCAGAATAGAAACTAATTTCAGTGTTTCAGATAGTGTGTCAACACAATAACCCAACTTCTCATTCAACTTTGCTCCTGTGTAAGTAATAAATAATGGCACATGTTTCCTACCCAAACTTATGCTACAGCCATAGCACAGTAAACACCGGGATCCTATCTGTATATCACATATAATGCTAAAAATTGTTTACAAATGATACAGCTGTCTTTAAAAGCTATTGGGCAGTCATCCCGTGCAAAAAAAGACTGCTTATCTAGAAGACATTTCAAAGAGCAAGAAGCCTGACATTTTGAAATATTGACAGGTGTGGGGATTTTTTTGTTATTTTTTTGCTTTCTAATTTTGATGGCTTTTCACACGAATTACATACAGCAGCCCACAAAGGTCACCACAGTGTGTAAAATCTGTTTCTTTTCCAATCCTCACTTTGACGGACTGGTTCTCAGGGATTTGACAGCTTCACTTTAGAAATGAAGATAAAATTGTTCCTCTGTGCCAGGCTCAGAATATAGAATCAGATAAAGACCCCCTTGCCTCCTTGGCAGCCTAGATGTTAAAATGCTCTGAGCCTATAATCTTAAACTTGGAATAGTTGAGTTACTTTGCAAAGAAAGAGACATGAGTCAGGAAAAGTGTTTCAATGGATAATATGAAGCATAGAAGTGTAGAGATGGAAAGCACCACAAGGTTTATCTAGTCCAACCCCCTGCAGTGCAGGAATCTTTTGCCCAACATGGGGCTCGAACCCACAACCCCGTGATTAGAGTCTCATGCTCTACTGACTGAACTATATCAGAAACAAGCAAGCCAACCAAAAACACAAAAAGGTTATGTTTTTATTTTTCTCCGTTTACTCTGCAGTTTAGTAGAAATATTCGCATGTGCTTAATTTGTTCTGCTACATTTCAAAAACATGAAAACTGCACTCTTTGGGAATTGGAATGAAAGCTAGTATTGAAATCCCTGTAAGATATAAGTAATGACTATATAATAACATAAGAACACAAGAATATCGTCTGGATCAAGCCAATGGCCCATCTAGTCCAGGATCATAGAATCATAGAATCATAGAATAGAATCATAGAATCATAGAGTTGGAAGAGACCACAAGGGCCATCGAGGAAACACCATCAGAGCACTCCTGACATATGGTTGTCAAGCCTCTGCTTAAAGACCTCCAAAGAAGGAGACTCCACCACACTCCTTGGCAGCAAATTCCACTGTCGAACAGCTCTTACAGTCAGGAAGTTCTTCCTAATGTTTAGGTGGAATCTTCTTTCTTGTAGAAAGGATCCTGTTCTCATAGTGGCTAACCAGATGCCCGTGGGAAGCCATGGAGCAGATGATGAACACAAGAGCACTCTACCTTCCTGTGGTTTCCAGCAACTACTAAGCCCCCCTGATAAATATTTGTAGGTAATAATTGTGGCTTATTGAAGGGTAAGTGCCTGACTTACTATCAGGTCCTTGGGAAACAGGTATTAAAGTATGGAGGTGCAACTCATTACTCCAGCACTTTGAAATAACTGTCTGTATGGACTACAAGAGACATCACCTTGCCAACAAAGGTCCGTATAGTTAAAGCTATGGTTTTCCCAGTAGTGATGTATGGAAGTGAGAGCTGGACCATAAAGAAGGCTAATAGCCGAAGAATCGATGCTTTTGAATTATGGTGCTGGAGGAGACTCTTGAGAGTCCCATGGACTGCAAGAAGATCAAACCTATCCATTCTTAAGGAAATCAGCCCTGAGTGGAAGGACAGATCCTGAAGCTGAGACTTCAATACTTTGGCCACCTCATGAGAAGAGAAGACTCCCTGGAAAAGACCCTGATGTTGGGAAAGATGGAGGGCACAAAGAAAAGGGGATGACAGAGGACGAGATGGTTGGATAGTGTTCTCGAAGCTACCAGCATGAGTTTGACTAAACTGCGGGAGGCAGTGGAAGACAGAAGTGCCTGGCGTGCTCTGGTCCATGGGGTCACAAAGAGTCAGACATGACTAAACGGCTAAAGAACAACAACAATGGACCACAAGGTGTACTCAGAGCCAGTGTAGTGTAGTGTAGTGTAGTGGTTAAGAGCGGTAGACTCATAATCTGGTGAACCGTTTTCACGTCCCTGCTCCTCCACATGCAGCTGCTGGGTGACCTTGGGCTAGTCACACTTCTTTGAAGTCTCTCAGCCCCACTCACCTCACAGAGTGTTTGTTGTGGGGGAGGAAGGGAAAGGAGATTGTTAGCCGCTTTGAGACTCCTTAGGGGGAGTGATAAAGTGGGATATCAATCCAAACTCCTCCTCCTCCTCTTCCTCTTCTTCTTCTTCTTCTCAGCAGCAGGCCACATGGTGGTCCAGAGCAATGGTGCTGCCCTCCTAACACCAGTATCACTGCAGTTTATGTGGGCAGCGCAGGCAACAGTGAGGTTGGGCTGCACAGACACGGTTCCAGCTTCACCACTGCCTTGGAGCTGGGTGGCAGAGTGGACCTATTTTCCAGATTTGTCTATTCACTGAAATAGATCCATGGAGCCTGTGCAGCTGAAGCTGCCATTGCACATTACAAGTACGGATTAAGTATATGATTGGATTTGTGACCATGCCAAGATTCCTCTTGCAGCCTTTTATCAGTGCACACATCAACACCTGTAACACAGAGGAGGGTGAAGGATGGAAAACAAGGAATGGTGCTGAAAGCTGTGACAAACTGCACATTCGCAGTACTCTGTATAGAATTTGGAAATGAAACATATAAATGGAGGCTCTCTAATACATCAGTTCCACTTTAGAAATAAGAACTCCCAAAGTTCAGATTCTATTTATTTATTTACTTCATTAAATTTATACACTGCTTGATTGCGAAAAATACTCAAAGTGGTTTACAAAAATACAAAGGAATAAAATTGAGAAAATTCATAATCTCTGCTTTGGGGCAGAGATCCAGAGCCCCTCTCAGCCAAACAAGTAGGAGGGCCTCAAAGTGCAGCAAGGGTGCAGCTTATCATCTAGAGAACGTTGCTGGAATGGGCAGAATGTAAATATATATATAAAAAATAATGAATACATGTAATGGGTTGGGGGCAGGCTCAGGTCTAAGTCAAAAATTCTAAAAAGTTTAGAGTCTATCTAACAGCATCACTGCTTCCACCGTCAAAAGAACTCCTTTGTTAATGGAAGGTCACTTTTGGGTTCAACCCAGTAAGCTATATTTTCCCATATTTTGTTTCCTCAGCTGTCTGGGGTACCAGTAGAATGGAGATACATTTCAAAAGCATTAAAAATGGTGCACAATGCTGTCCTAATTATACGTAAGTGTGGGGATGGACTACAGCCACCCTCCCTTAGAATACCAAATTTTTCAACCCTAGAAAAGTCCAGTGAGCAGCTGGAAGACAAAATAAGCTAATCAAGTAACATGGCAGTTCTATTTATTTTACTCAAGTAATTTATACTACCGTAACATTCCAGAAGCATTAGACTGATAAAGGATCTCTGTTTCTCTCCTTTCCTGTCGTGGTACATTGTGTTACTGAAGGACAACTAAGCTGAAGTGAGTTGCCAGCCTTCGTGTTACATCTTAATATGTGATGCCTTCCTAACTGCAAATCTCACAGCTAGCATCTCACTACACTGCCCATTGCCTCAGAACAACAGAATGTATTTCTGTGCCGAGAAGAGTGCATTCATTTCACTTGGAAAGGACAAAGCACTTATCCTTGATTCCACTCAGCTAGGCTAAGTTAAATTAAAACTACTCAAGCATCTCAATAAGTTTTTCCTTCCTGCTCCTTCTTCTAGAAGCATGTTTCCCTATCTTCTGAGGGTGGCCCTGGAATGAGAATTAGAGGAATGCTTTATTTGTACATTTGGGGAAGAAAAAAGAAGAAGAAAAAATAAATACTTTTAGAGTTTCATCCCAGCCCCCTTTAGAGTCACCGATCCTGTGTTTCTACTAAGGATGGAAGGATCTGTCAATTCCACTTTTTTTTTTTTTGGTTTCTCATTTTTCTAATATTAAATTCACTTCTCCGCATTTCAGCTTCAATGTGCAATTTAAATGCAAAAATCATGAGAATTCTTTAGCATATTAGTGCAAATTTCTTCTAATAATACATTTTACTGATGTATAATTTTTGCAAGCAATTTCTCCTAATTTAATGCATTTTTTGTATGTCGTTTTAACTAATCTATTCATTTTTATGCACATCTCCCCCTAACATGCATTTTTTGCAAACACAACTTGGTTGGGGAATTGCATTGCAAAATTCAGATAAGTGCAAACTTCAGAGGGCTTTTGTGTTTCAGTTCTCGTATTGTTTTGGAACATGTGGATTTAATAACACTGAATAGCTCTCCCTTCTATAGTTTCTGCCCAATCTGCTGTTCTGAGCTGGAACCCTGGCTCAGTGGTAGGGCACATTCCTTGCATGCAAAAAGTGCCATTCCTGCCATCACTAATAAAATAAAACAATTGGGCTGTGTAAACAACGAACATTTAAATAACATGCCTTCACCAAAAGAATCCTGGCAACTTCAGTTTGTTAGGGGTGCTGTGCAGAGTGAACTACACTTTCCAGAATTCTTTGGGGGAAGCCTTGTGCTTTAAATGTATGGAGCCAGTTGAGAAAATAATCTTGTTAAAAGAATCAGGTAGTAGCAGGTGGGAAAGAACTCTGAGAGCCTGCAGAGTTCCTGCCAATCAAAGTAGACAATATTGGGCTAGATGGACCAATTATATATTCCCTCCTGACTGAAAGGAGGAAAAGGAAAAGGCAGAGCACAAATCACACAATGACAGAACATTTTCTTCTGCAGACAAGGAATGATCCTGTCTGTTTGTATTGGGAGTACAGGCATCCTTCCATTTACATGGGTGTTACGTTCCAGGCTCATGTGTGCATAAGTGAAATTGTGGGGAGCACCCTCTAAACACCCTTTAAACACCCTATCTGCTGCTCTCTCTTCAATCTGTACCAAAAATATTGTATCCAAAAATATCCACAACTAGAATTGAAGCTCTGGAGCTGGCAGGAGGCTAGAGGATGTGCAGGGAAGTGCTGCTGTGCTACTGCACACACCAGCTGCTAGTTGGGGAGGCTGAGCAGCATAAAGAAAGCCCTGCTGTGCCTCTCGTCTCTTTGGGGCATCCTCCACCCTCAATGACAGCCTCTTTAGGCTGCATGGAGGGTCTCCTCATGAGCCACGATATTTCTCCCACCCTTTGGATTGCAAAAAGTTGGATTACAAAAAGGAGAATAGACACTGGAAGGTTTTTAACCACGAGCCTTCAGCGCTTCACCCAGAGGAGCAGATTTTTTTGCCTGTGTTTGGGTATTATTTGATTCCATTTTGAATCAAGATGCACAGATTTTACCCAAAATTGACAGGATTGTATGTTATATGTACCCAACAGCATTGCAATGAAAATATGTATTTTTAAAACACATTAGATTACCCATTTATAAATCTCATTACAGTGGTACCTCGGGTTAAGAACTTAATTCGTTCTGAAGGTCCGTTCTTAACCTGAAACCGTTCTTAATCTGAGGTACCACTTTAGCTAATGGGGCCTCCCGCTGCCGCCGTGCAATTTCTGTTCTTAACCCGAGGTACTATTTCTGGGTTACCAGAGTCTGTAACCTGAAGCGTCTGTAACCTGAAGCGTCTGTAACCCGAGGTACCACTGTATTTTCTTTGTTTCCAATAATTCCTGAGCAATGTCGGGTACTCTTTACTTGCTTAGGAATAGTTTCCTGGGATAGGACATAAGGCAGCATAATATACACTTGGTACCAAAACCCCAGAGTCGG